TTTATACTTACATTGCCACCTGGCTGATAACTAATCTCACAATATGGTCTTTACATGTTAATATATAATATTGCCTATTATCTTCCCATAATCCTTCAAAACTTCTGAAAAGCATGGCTCTATCTTTTTCCAAGCAAGGGGACAGTTACTGGTGTAATGTACCATAATTTCAAAATGTTTTTAACTGTAGAAAGACATTCCATGGAGGGAATAGTAAATTAGATCTTCCTTCCAATTTTTTTTAGCTTTGATTGAAAATTTTCTTATGAGGAACAATTAGTGCAAACCTCTCTCTTTATACAGCAGTATATAGGCTTGTACCACAATTTTTCTACAAACGTTTGATTTGGACATAGTGTGTAGTATAACCATTTGGACAGAGATTCCTTTATTGTTGTATAATATAGGACTTTGTTTGGAAGTTTTATGAATTGTAAAGGGAACCTATGCTAGGAAGTTTTCTAAATGACATTCACAAATTTGATAATAGTTCCAGTGAACAAGATGTACCTCCTGTTAATGAAAGGAATAAAAGCAAAAAGAAGCTTTTGCTTAAAAAGTGTTTGTTTTGCCTTGTCTACCTCAAACAAGCTGCTAAACAAACTTCCAAAGTTTCATTTTCTCTTTGAAGTGAACTGCCAAATTACTGTTCAATCCAGAATATAGTATGTCTTCATCTAGCTGGCAAAAGAACTGTGCAGCTGCTGCAACTGAACTCATTTAGTTGAACACTGTGACTCAAATCATCCTATTTATTTAATACCAGCAGAGGTGGAAGGAAGGCAAATATAGTGTGGCTATTTCAAGGCTGCTCTTAAGCACATCAAAAAACACTTCAGCATGAGGATCATCTAATTTTTATTTTTTTTTAAAAAAAAAAAAGATTTAATATAGCTCAGTAATGTAAGATCAGTATTTTTTTAAAAAAAAAATGTAAAATCAGTATTTTACATTTTGTTCCTGTTTGTTTTTTTTTTTTTTTTCAGATTATTCAATGTGGTCTCCATTTTGTTAATCAAATGTAAATAGCTACGCATCTCACTAGAGGTAACTTTAACAATGCACAACAATAGCAATATATTCCATTCTTTATATTGTGAGATTTTATGCTGTGGGCTTATAGTCAATGTCATTTAAAATAATGAATGGCCTATATGAGTAACTGTGTTAAGCCTTGGCGAAGTAGGTGCTCCAAGCTATTAATACAGTGCCTCATTCTGTGAAAAAGGCTAATTGTAGTCTGTGTGAAATTACTGTTGCAATTTATGTCTGCAATCAAAATAATTTTTCCTGAACACATCTATATTGCTATATGTTAGAGTAGAAAGAGTAAGTATCAGATCAAATAGTTTTTTCCCTTTTTAAGTTTGCAACATTCATGTATACTTAATTATACAGCTTCGGTTCATAATGCAATAATACTCTATTTTATTTCACCTTCAGTTTTATGGATTCCCAGCTCTTCAAATCAGTACTGTATGTTTTCTCAAGCTGATAAAAGGTGGTTTTCCTTATCAGTAAATAGAGATTGAATGTTGTTGTTTTCATATGTAGATTGCATTTGTTATCTTATCAGTGGCTTTTCTTTTCTATGGCTGGATTAGGTGGCGTCCTGTTTAATATATCAGCTAAATAAATAAATAACTTATGGAAAGGGGGAAATACTTATGGCAGATTTTAGTATTATATGTTACCTTTGATTTTTCTAAAAATAGGGATAGTTCTTCAGAATACAGCATGCTAGCATAGTACAGTGATTAAGGAGTATTTTCTCAGCCCCATTTCAGAGAGAGCTTCATATTGCCTCGATTCAGTAGATGGCAGCACCTGGATGGCTTTGTCTGGACTAGGAAGCTGAATAGGGCTAGTCTTGGTTAGTCCTTAGATGAGAGATTTCCAGGAATGTAGGAATGTCACCTAGACCATGAAGGTGGGGGAATCCCTGGAAAGACAACAGCAAGCAATCTCTGCACTGCTATCAAGAAATTTACATGGATATTTCCATGAAGGCAAGGCTGAATTAAATAAAGACAACTAAAGGCTCCTGGACCACCCTAGCCAAAGAAAATAGAAGGCTAAATGCAAAATGTACAGGCTTCCTTCATCCAACCAAAGAATAATTCAAATAAAGACAATGCATAGAAACAGTTCTCTGAATGTCGTGCATAGGAATCATTAATCAAAAGGCAAATTTGTTTTCATTTCATCTTGGTCTGAAAGGAGGGAATTGTATTTGGAAAATACAGATCTACAAGCATGTGTTCTCTGATTCCTTGTCAGTGGCCCTGCCAGTTGAGATTAATGGTGATTGGTTCAAAGTATCAGGAAATCACTGTATTGAAGAAGGGATCTAGCTTGCTCGAGGGTAAATTCCCATTTTCCAGCACAAAGGATGCAGTAGGACAATCATCCTTTCTGCACCTTCACAAAAGTAGACTGTTTGGCTTTAAAATGAAAATTAAATGAGTATCTTTCCTTTTGTACATCGAATTATCTGTGGAATTTGATGCATTATGCTTTTATCCCTATGCCCTATTTTTGTGCTTCCTGTGGATTCAGGATGGCTACTGTAAGAGACAGGATGCTTAATTTCCTAAATCTAAAACCAGAAATATTCTTCTTTGGTTCTTAATCTAAGTAGCAATGAGATGTGCATTCAGACCACATTCTTTCAAATACAGGAATTTCACAGATGGCTATTAATTAGGAGACTGATATGAAAGCATGTGGTAGTTCAAGTTTATAATTTTGTAACACATAGTTTTAGACTGCCTATTTTTGATTGTATACATTTGAAAGATGTTGTAGCTAGGAGAATAGAGCTACGTGAATCATTATAATCTACATTAATCTGAAACAGTAATAAAAGAAGGATAAAAGTTTGGCTGTTATTAAATTTGGTGAGGGGAAAGTATTGAAAAAACTATTCCAAAGATGATTGTAAGAATGATCAAACTTTAGCTATACCGATCCTAAAATATGACTTCATTATTAACAAAAAATATATTAGTGATTTTTCCTTATCAACCCAAGTAAGTTTTTATTATTATGGTAGTCACACGCTCAACCAGATGCATTTTTATCCACCTATCAAGATCTTCCCAAGGATTTGGGGTAGGCAGATATTACTGTTTAATAATAATAAAGGTATTGTAATATGGAGTTAGATTCACAGTTTAAGGCTTGTGGAAACGTAATTCAAGTAACCGAAGACCTAAGTAATATTAGTTCTTAGTTATTATTTTTTAAGCTAGCATCTAAGAATATAAAAGGTTCCAACGAGTGCGGGTGGTTTTTTTTTTTTTGTAAAATTATGGTGTTCAAGTTGGTTAAATTCAATATTACAAGATATTAAGGAAGTCCTTTAGGTATTTTTCTGTGGCTCCAATCACAATTATATTATTTGTTCAGGAACTTAGAACTCTGAAAGTACAGGAAAGATAAGAAAATAAATATCACCCTTTAACATATGGAAGTTGAAGGATAAAATAGAGAAGGTATATTCTGCAGGACCAACTGTTCTATACAACTTTTGGAAATCAAATTTGGGGTAAGATGTTTTTGTCAGCTTACATGAACATAAGAAATAAGTAGGTTTGGTTTGGTTCTAAAGAATATAGTGCTGTCAAAATATAATTATCTGGGAAATAATTATAGTTTATATTAAAATTTGGTAGGTTAGTATAGTAAAATTGTTTAGCTTATATAATGCTTGCTCTTATTTTTGCTAAACAGACTGATATCATATAAGCCATACCTTTCTTTTGTCCTCTATAGTAACAGGTATTCTTGAGGTTTAGGATTTGCTTACTACAATGCATCATTGGTCAAGAGAAACCAACCATGGAGGGCTGGGGGAGGATGAATGTTGCTGTCTGTTGCTTTTTCAGATAAAAATATTGATTATTTGTTTAGTATTCTCCATGTTTTTCACTCTTACCTCTGTGCAAGAAAGCTTCCAACTTTTTTTGCAAATGAAATTTATTTTCATTCATAAATACAATCTTAAAAAATGTTGAAGTCCATGCATGCCATTTGATGTAAAAGAAAAAAGATTCCTCCAAAAAATAGTTGGTTTGGTATACTTCAAAACATAATTGAGTCAGTGAATGGGAGAACAAGGCCAGAACCAATTTTGCTGCTGTTCATGTGTTGGGAAAATAAAGCTTGAAGAGAAGCAGCCAGAGGTGTGAAAGAAATTTGGGGAATTTTGAAAAAAAATATTGTGTTGGTTACGGTTGGCCCATTAGCTATTTTATCTTAATTATTCAGCTGCAAGGTAATACTGCAGCATTGGAAATGAATCTCACCATATCCAAGATGTAAATCTAGAAGCAAAATATTTTAAATGTGCAGCATATTTAAGGAAACTTGCTTTATCTTTATCCTCCCTATAACATCCTTTGCATTGCATATGGGAGGAAGTTGCAAAAAAGAACTGATCCAGTTCTGAATTAACAGTGAAGAGTGGGTAGGAGCAGGAAGTGGCTGAAGATAGTGAAACTATTCTTACAATGACCTGTTCAGTTTGGATGTTGCAATGGAGGGAGATTCAGTAGAAACTGATAAATATCTACAGGCAGCATATGTGATAGAATCCTATGGCCGTTATTTAATAGTTTAAAAACAAGAAGATATAATCACACATTGTTTACATAATAAAAGTTGAGGAATGGATAGTCTTATAAGAGAACGCCAAGGAATTACTCAGTTTAGTTCAATACGGCACACCTGTTCTTGCATGTCAACATCTCTCTTCATATAGATCAGACATGTCAAACTCGCGACATTGCGTGACGTCACGCAACATCTCGGGATGGTTTTGCCATTGCGGCAATGGGGTGGCATGGCTTCCGCATGACGCATCCAGCCACGGGCTGGCAGTTTGACACCCCTGATATAGATAGTACTTCAAACTTGTAGGTAGTGACTGCTCCTAAATAACTTTAACTGGTTCACCTAATCTTCACTATGGAAATGCTTGCTTTCTATGGTTTCAGGTGACTTCTATACGGCAAGAATATGAAACCAAATTGAAAGGTCTAATGCCAGCATCTTTGCGACAAGAACTTGAAGACACAATTCTCTCACTAAAATCTCAGGTAAAGATTTTATGTTCTATTTCTCAGCATAGTACAGTAGCATGTAATCTAGGATTTGCTAGTTCAAAGAACTGACAAAAATATCCATAGCATGCTGGTATAAGCAATGGAGTTTGACAATTAATAGTTCATCGTCTCTACTTGTTTTTTTCACCTCAACTAGCTCCAACCTTCACTCACAAGAGTTAGTTCTGGTTTTTTTCTCTGTGCCAATATAAAGAGAGACGTTTAGCCTTTTTGATCTCTTAAATGATGAGGGTTCTAGTCATTTTATATTTAAACATGAAGATAATTTTTTTTAATTTGATAGTTTTTGCATAAACACCTTTTTTCAAGCATGCATGCTTTCTGTAAAAAGACATTGGTGCATCAGGGTGAATAGTTTGTCTCTGCTTACAATACATAGAGCAGTGGTGGGATACAGACTTGAGAAAGATTGATGTCCCTAATTGAGGTTTTTTCAGTCTGTTGTTGAACAAGCAAACATTCCAATACCATGATGTACTAATTCCTCTTCAAGCAAAAATGTTTAGGAGCCACTTGTTACTTGGAATAATTTTGCTATCCTGACATTCCTTTAATACCAAAGGTTTTTAGAATACGATCAAGTGGATGAATGGGTGTTTGTTAAATCAATTCACACTTTATAATGTAATCATCAATAAAGGATTTTTTTTTGCAATAGATATATTTAGTAAAATAATAGTGTGACAAATGACTATATGAACTGGTCATCTGTAACTTCCTGTAATACTAAGACATCCATAGGAACCCAGATAAAACCAAAGACTAGAAAACCTTCAGTCTTACATTTTTCCAATTCATATAGTCTCAAAAGAGGTTGTTATTATTTCATTTTTCATCTGAAAATGGTGCATTTGGATTTGTCACCTTGTAATGCTATTTCTAAAGGAATTGCCATGGCAAATAAGTACCATGTTCCCTCTTGATAAGGGCAGGTGCTTTATGGGTGTTGTTGATATTACCACTGATTTTGAGAAGGAATTCCTGCTGGTGCTCAGGTTCATCCAGTGTTGCCATAACAAATAATAAAAGGGAAGAATGGATTATCTAGTAAATTAGTTAATAAATACGTGTGACTTTTGACTGGCATGCAAACTTACCAGTGTTAACAACTGAAAAATCCCCAGCTTCCAATGAAGTGAATTTGGGGTTGAAATTTGATTTCAGTCTTCAAAGCTTCTGCTAGCATACATAACATTTCAAAGGAGTAAAAGTAACTCCAGACTTTTAAAAGTGAGTGCTCATATACAAAGCATAGCTCGCAGCTGCTTTGTGCAGTGAACTACAATATCCAGCTACAGGCTGTTCTATAACAGCTTCTGAAGCACAGGTGTCTTCTTTGAAAATTGTTGAAATTCCTGTTTTAAAAACATCAGCCAGAAAGAACAGTGGAATCTTTGCACCTGTCAGGGCTGTGAATTGTTCCAGAGGAATGAGAGGGCTTGGTTAGGTTAAAAACACCAACAGAGCAGCAGTCACAAAGAACAAATAGGAAATATTCACTTCTCAAACAAAGCTTTGCTTATATTTAAAATATGCTGGCTGCCACCATCTCCTCAATTTTGAGGCTTTTCACTGTGTTCTTTGTCTTCTATCCTAGCACTTTGCTAATGAACTTTTATAGCATGCTTATAACTTTACTTTCCCAACAAAGAGTTTTTGACCACCTTCAAAAGTAGAATTTTATGTCTGTGTCTCACAAAGACATGTGTAATCCATTAATGTTGATGCTTAAATTGCAGAACTTGGTATTCTTTATGCCAATGTTCAGTTTTGAAATCATTGCATTTCTTGTAAACAAAATTTAGGGATTGCATTTCCTCCCCCCAAAAATGTGTAATACTGCATGAACATAGAATAGGGGTTCCCAACCGGGGGTGTGAGACGATATTCCAAGGGATGCGAAAACTTGGGTTTTCAAAATTATAGTCTATATGCATAATTCGTTGCTGTTATTTTGAGTTTTTGTAAGGGGTGCGAGAATATATCAGAAGTGTTCTAGGGGTGTGGTGTATAGAAAAGGTTGGGAGCCGCTGACATAGAACATGGACAGTATTCTCAGAAGATGAAATACACTTGATCCCTATTTAGGCTGTTTGACATTAGGATATCAATCCCTAGATTATCAGGCCATAAACAGGGTTTAAGCAATATATCTGAGGAACCGCAAACAGATGTATTCATAAGTCTGTTATATACTAGAAGCTCTTCAGTCACAACAGCTGTATTTTCTAGGTAAACTTTTTACGAAAAAGAGCATCAATTCTACAAGAGGAACTGAGTACATATCGCACCAGAAGGTAAGCTATGGTAGTATCTCCTACTCAGATTGTTAGCTTGCTTTTAGTAAGCACAGCCTCTTCGAAAAGTTGCACATCTATAATTTTGCAGTTTAGTAGGTCTCGAACAGCTGGCTGGTACAAGTCTGATCTGGGCCTTGCTTTAGCACACCCGAGACACTGGCTCAATTTATGGTTACAGGGCTATGAAGTATTGCCATCTTTTGAGATAAAGTACAATGATACAGTTTATAATCTTCAAGATTGTATCTTTAAGATCTTTACCCTCCTTGGCTTTTTTTACATTGTTCTCCTGTTATGCAAAAATATGCACAAATGTTGCAATAACAGCCCAAAGGTGCTTTGTACTCTTTGAAAAGAATGACTCACAAGAGTGGTTATGTCACTTTAAAGCAGTGGTTCTCAACCTGTGGGTTGGGACCCCATTTGGGGTCGAATGACCATTTCACGGGGGTCACCAAACCATGCTGTCCACCATTTTTTTCCTTTTTCCTTAGCTGTCCTACTCCCTCTTATTGGTGGCCACACCCACTTGGGGGTCACCACAACATGGGGAACTGTATTATGGGGTCACGGCATTAGAAAGGTTGAGAATCACTGCTTTAAAGTGATGTCACTGCTTTCTTTTTCTTTTCTTTTTTTGCAAATTAAGAAGAGTCTTGACTGCTGCAATATTTCTGTAGTGTTATAAGATGTGTAAATGCAACTTAATTAAACTGATAAAAGGCATGACTCTAATTTAAAGCTAGATCACATCTACTGAGTAGGCCTTTCCATAGACTTTTGCCACACTTCAATTATGTTGCAAGATCTGTGCATAAAATTCTGGTCCAGTTTAAACTTGAATATTTTATGCACCATTGTAGTTTATAGCCCTGGGATTTCCTATTAGTCTCATCTAAGTACTAAGAGTTTTGATCAGGATGAGTTGAGGTCACATAAGTGCTGCCACCTGCTATGATGAACCTTCAGATCTTAACTCCATAATCTGCCTTTTGGTCTTCAGTTGTTCTCTTCCCGATAACCATAATTTCCCAACTGAAACCATAATTGAAAATTATTCTGAATTAATCCAAGAAGTCTTTCATTTTAGTACTTAATATCTGTGTAATGGGGCATTGTTTCCAGAAAGTGAGAAAGAATCTAAAAGATGTTAGGATTGTCTGCTGTACAAAATAAATGGATAATTGATGAGAATATTTTATTCTTTAGGTAATTACTGAAAGTGACAGTTGTTTCAAGCGTCGAATGGATTTCTTTCAACAGGTTTGAAGATTTGGATCTTTTGAATTAATCTGGGAGATCAGTGATTGTTCTATAAATTAGATTGTGTAATTAAGGAATAAAAATACAGCCCTTATTCATTACAGTATTTTAAGTTACTACACATTTGAATCATTTTATCATAAAAAAAGATTCTGTTTTTGATATATTCACGTGTACCTTATTCATTTACATATGAAAAACATAATTTTGTTTGCTCACATTGCTTTTGTCCCTTATTTCATAATGCACTTTTTTAATACATGCTAAAATCAAGTCCTTATTATATTATATTGTCCAAAACATGTTAAAACCTAAATGGTATCGCTTCATGTTCATATGTTACATTATTAAAATATTTTTTGTACATTTTTGTTTCAACATTATTTCTGTTTTCAATATCTTATTTACTGCAAAGGGTGTCTGCAGCAAAGTATAAACGTTTCCAATTTTTGTTTGTTTTGTGGTTTGTATGGCAGGATACACCTTTTTTAAGTCTGCTGATTGTGCATGTTGTTTTTGGATGTCAGTTTGAATATGACTAGTAAGAATATATATTTTATTCTGAATGGGTCACTTTTCAATAATGTGGTATAGCAGTGTTTCCCAAACTTGACAATTTTAAGGCATGAGGACTTCAACTCCCAGAATTCCACAGCCAGCAACGCTGGCTGTGGAATTCTGGGAGTTGAAGTCCACATGCCTTAAAATTGTCAAGTTTGGGAAACACTGTGGTATAGCATGACAGCTAAGACTGTTTCACAGAATGGACTGTGAATTCTTTCTACTGATCTCTCTCCTTAGTATATAATTATATGGTTTGTTTCCTTGTGCCATTCCCATTTAGTGTACTGTTGCTATTTCCAATGTCATGCATAGTCATTAATTACTTGGTGTGATTAGGAAATTACAAGCCTAAAAAAGAACTATTAATATTTCCATTACAAGGGACTAATTGCATGATTGCATACTTTCCAGGAGCCCCCCCCCCACATCTAATAAAGCTTCTGAAATCATTAAGTGAGAAAAGGCCACAGTTAATTTTAAAATCTAATGCTTAAGTGAGTGATAGAAGAAAATATTATATTAAATAACAGCTGTTTCTGAGTACATGATATTGACTGTAAGGAGGAATTTATTTAGCCTCTAACATATATAGATGTAGTAATTAGACTTTTTGTCTTTCACAACTGGAGGAGTTCTGTGTACAAGTATTAAAATACCGAACTTTTGATTACCAAGTATTTTGGCAAGGTTTGAGGGATAGTTCTTATTTTCTGGGAAACAGTAATTATAATATTTTTAATGCATTTGGCATTCTTACATGTTCAGAGTACTTCAGATGCCTTGTCTAGTTGTCTTTCTTACGATCCAATAAAGTGAATGACGATCATTATCTCCTGTTTTGCAGAAGGGGGATAAAGGAAAGCTTGCCTAAGGTCACGTCATTTGTTCATGGCAGAAGAGAGTTTCACATCAGGAACTCTCTGATTTATGAATTATAGGGTTATTAATATTTTCCCTTACTAAGATTACCTATGTCATGTGCTAATTTCAGAAAGTAGAGTGGAAGTTAAAGATTGCTTTGCATATTAATTCTTCAGTAGTAGTTCTGTTAGTGACTGACTTCCTTATCTTCTGCAGTTGAGTTTCCCTTGTTACTTCTAGCTACTCACTGCAGAATGGAATGAGCATACAGGTAGTCTTCAACTTACAACCACAACTGAGCCCAGAATTTCTATTGCCAAGCAAGACAGTTGTTAAGTGAGCTTTGCCCCATTTTATGATCTTTCTTGCCACAGTTAAGTGAACCACTGCAGTTTTTAAGTTACTAATATGATTTTAAGTGAATCTGGCTTCCCCCATTGGCTTTGCTTGTCAGAAAGTTGCAAAGAGTGATCACATGACCTCGAGATACTTTAACTCATAAATATGAGTCAATTTGCCAAGCATCTGAATTTTGATCACATGATCATGGGGAAGCTGCGGTGGTCATAAGTGTGAAAAAAAATGGTCATAAGTTACTTTTTTCAGTGCCACTGTAACTTCGAACAGTCACGAATTGTTGTAAGTTGAGGAGTATCTGTACCTATAATGTAGGATCAAGGGTTCACATTTCAGGCACCCCCAAAGATAAAGGAAAGCACTACTTAAGAACATGACATCAGAATAAGAATTCTAAGCACTATGAGCAAGCAAGCAAGGGCTATTAAATTAAAGGTTTTGTATGCAATTTAGGCATTCATGGCTATAAATCAGGATCCAGTTCGCAGCCCTGGACAGCTAGTAATGTGGTGTCACAAGATCATAAACTTTGAACATTGTTATTTAATTTTATATTATAAAACAATATTATATATTTTTATATGTGGCCCAAGATAATTCCTCTTCACTCAGTGTGGCCCAAGCAAGCCAAAAGGTTGGACACCCATGCAATAAATGATAATGATTTATTCTGTACTATTTTATTGAAAATACATGTTTCTTTGATTAATTATAGTCTGCCTTTTAATATTTCTAACTTTGAATTAAGGGTGAACCTACTCCAGTGCAGATGCAGGGTAACATTTTGGAGGATACAATTTAGAGCTTATAATTTAGAGATTTTTGAAGGATTCTTTCTTTCTCCAGCGTCAGGAAGCTTGTGGATTAAATATATAAATTGAAAGTGCAGTGTAGGCATTTTGAAGACCAAGGCAGGGGTAGGCAATCTTGGCTCTTTTATGACTCGTGGACTTCAACTCCCAGAATTCCTGAACCAGCATGGCTCAGCTTGGAAACTCTCCCTTTCCTCTCAGCGTGGCTGGCTCAGGAATCCTGGGAGCTGAAGTCCATGAGTCATAAAAGAGCCAAGATTGCCTATCCCTGGACCAAGGAAATCAGGTGCAGGAGATAACAAGGCTGAGCCTGAGGGTGGGTTCAAACATATCATCATTTTGGAATCTCTACACTCCCATAAAAGATCTAAGTCTAGCCCTCCTTGAAGTCCATTGACCTTTAGCGCCAATTTGCCTTGACCATTAGTAGTTCGGATTCTTGTGTGTAGGCAGCATGAAATAAACTTATAGAACTTTTGAACTCTATCCTGGTTCCTGACTTCTGAAATCAGCAGAGATTAAAAATCTAAGGATGAATTGAGCAAACCAAACCTCCTACTCAATATTTAAATGAGAGGCCAGGGCAGTTGTTGAGGACTTAGGTAAGAGGAAAGGGAGGGACATTCAAAAGACCATCAAATGTGCTAAAATACCTCAAACACAATCAAAACCATATAAACTGGTAGCCTGTGGATTAGTTTGTCTAATTTATGCCAACCTCAGTCTGCCACAATCATGTATGCCTACTTCTGCCTTAAGGTACCTCTTATTATTCGTATACACATATGCACACTTTTCTAATTAGGTGTCGCAAATTTAATCCCATTATCTTCACACCCCTAGTAATACGTCAGATCCTCCATTATATTCTGGCTGTTGAAATGTTTCAAGAATAGATTATTGTTCTGAATAATTTTTCTTTCCTGGAAAGGTAATTGCTATATGGATGTTATCTATACTTTTATTTTTCTGTTCATGGTTTTTTTTTTTAAATTGCATATATAGTTTTTTGTTATGGTGGAAATACCCCACCTCTTTCTTCGATATGTAATATATATTGATGGCTTAATTATAAGATGGCAATATGGGTTTATTTTTTACCTCCTGCAGCAGAACTGATGGGATGTTTTTATTAGTTGTCCAACTCTCTTTAAAAAAAAAACTTTATTAATTCACACTGTGTCCAGACTTGCCCTTGGTAAATAAGGTTCTAACACTGACAGAAAGAAAATACTTGTGATTGCTTTAATAACTAGAAAAGGTTACACTAAAAATATAGGGCACCCTTGATGCTAAGTAGTTCTAACACATCATACAGAAAGAGTATGGATTCTTTTTTTAAATACCGCTCTGCCTTTTGAAATCTCAATATGCCAAAGGCACCAGCATCAGATCTCGTTTTGAAAGGGAAAAAAAGGCACTAAGAACACCAAGCAGTAGGTGAAAAGATTTTGGAACACAAGGTCATTTTAACTCATACTTTTCTCTTTTAAAAAATCTCAGCTTTGATATTTTTGCTGAGAAAAAATAATTCCTGCTTAAATTGTGTCATTAAAGACAAGTTGGCTCTTTCAAAGCACATTATCAAAGAATGCTGAAATTGCAAGATACTGAAACAAAAATGTACTGTATCATTGGTTTTAAGTATGGTAACCAAACGCTTTCTTGAAATCCTTTGTGCTTGTGTTTTTTTTCCAATTTACTCTTTTTAACTACAGCATTTAAAAAAGCCGTGTCCTATTTACATCTCATAGCTCAAAAGCCATTCAAATTGCTTGGTTGTTTTATTTCCAGCGTTGTTCTATTAATCTTGTAAGAGAGAGGGTCTTTTGACTCTATTTTTTAAGCATAATCTTTACAACAAAGATTTCTGCACTTTACAAACATGACAAAAACAGAATTGGTTAATTTATCCAAGTGCTATTTCCAGCAGATCTCTTTAATGACCTTTGGCAATAATTACTTATGAAATTTAATTGGACATCCAACATCCTCTTTTAGACATTTATCAATGTTTTATAATCTTTTCATTCTTTTCTCTGAATGTGAATAATCAGTGTAACCAGAAAAACTCAGAATAGAAGCCTAAGTTATTTAAAGATGTATGTCTTCCATAGTGCTTTGATCTTGAATACTTTTTTTATTTTGTCATGCCATCTTTCCTGATATCTATTCAGTTCTGTAAGCTTACTGTAAATATAGATACATTTTTGCAGTGCTTTTTTTGTAAAAATAAAAAAAAATGCCAGAACTCACACATGTCATACAACCCGCTTTGCCTACCCTACAAGGTTCCATCCAAAAAAGGTGCTGGAACTCCATTTTGGGCGTCCTATGACAAAAAAAAAAGCCCTGCATTTTTGTACATTTCCTTAACTTCATTTTTTTCCATCCAGAGTAGAGGTT